CATCTGAGGGCAGTTCTCTGTGCTTCTTGGATTTCAACATCTGTTTCCTTCCCCAGATTGGGGGAGTTCTCTGCTATAATTTGTTCAGGGACTCATTCAGCGCCTTTCCCTCTTTCTTCCTCTTCTGGAATTCCTCTGATACAGACATTGTTCTGTTTGATTGTGTCACTCAGCTCTTGAACTCTTCTTTTGTGTTCCTGGATCAGTTTATCTATTTTCTGTCAGCTTCCTCTTTTCTATAATTGTGTCTTCTAATTCACATATTCTCTCCGCCTCTTTAATCCATGCATTGGACACCTCCATTTTATTATGCACCTCATTTATAGCATTTTTTAATTCATCATAACTATTTTTAAGCTCCATAGTCTTTGTAACAATAGTTTCTCTGATGTCCTCCATGCCTTTTTCAAGCCCAGCGATGAATTTTATAACTTTTGTTCTAAATTCTTGTTCAATTATGTTGCTTATATCTGTTTTGAACAGTTCTTTAGCTGTCATTTCTTCCTAGAATTTCTTTAGAGGAGAGTTCTTCCGTTTCATCATTTTAGCTATTTTTCTCTCTCTTGTTAGTTTTAAAAGCTTGTTATGCACTCTGCACCTGTGAGTGCTGCTGTACCACAGAAGGCTCTTTGACTGTCTAGGGCCTTTCCGTTCATGAAGTGTTCTTTGAATGGTGTCTGTTGGTCTCTCTTGTTGAGACTTTGGTTATTTTATTTCCCTACTCGTAGTGGCATTTAGGAGTCTCTACCATGCGTACTTCGGGTTGCTTCTTGAGGTAGCCCTGGAAAATAAAACAGACACACAAACACAGGGAACAAAGGCACACAAACGCAAAGACAAATCCAACAAACAAGCAAACGGAAAGGGAAAAAGAAAAGAAAAAAAGGAATAAAAAAAGAGGAAGGAAGGAAAGTAAATAATAAAAATAAAAAAGGAAATATAAAAAAGAAGAAAAGAAAAGAAAAAAAGAAAAAACCCAACAGACAAAGGACAGTCTAAAAGCATAAAACCATAATTTCCCACTACAAATAAAGAGCAGGGTGTATGCGGTGCTGATGGAAGAGCACATACAAAGAGAGAAATGACAGGGTGGGGAGTAAGCGAAATTGGACAATGACCAGGCAGAGAGAAGAAGAGGCTTAATTCAGAGAAAGAAAGAGGAGAATATGGTAGGAGGCAAGGAGAAAGAAACAAAGATAATGTTACTCAGAGAACCTATATAGTTGATTAATCCAGAGAGGGAGAGATAGAAAGGTAGTGGTGGAGGTGTAGAATATACATCTAGAGAATGGATTAAATGTATCTGTTTAAGCAAACCAGTTACCAGAGTGCCCAGTCCAGCAGAAGGGAGGGATACGAATGAGACAAGGGGAAATGTATCTGAATAGAAAGAATTGATCTAGAATTAATCATGGCAGTGCATCCATGTTTGTCTTGCCTGGGCTCTGGTAAAAAAAAAAAATGATGCTCTCTAGTGGTGATGGGCGTGGTTTGGTGTAGGCAGGTCTTAGCCTCCACTGTGTCCTGGGGGCTGCTCCCTGAGGTACCGCCTTGGTGGTTGTGGGGAGGAAAATGGCAGTGCCCCAGTCCCTTCTCAAACCAAGCATTGTGAATCACTCTTTTGGGTCCAATCTCCCTGTGTCACGGGCATAGCCAAGGTGGGCCGTGATCTGTGTCCCAAGCCTCGCCTTCTTTCCAGATCTTAGTCTGCGCACTTTATCAATACTGCCTGAAATACAAACCTGCAGGCCGAGTCCTTCCGAGCACTTTCAAGCCGGCCACTTCCCCACTGGGGATGGAGCCAGAAGAGGGGTGGAGCAGTCAGGCTATGGAGCTTCCCCTATGGATCGAGCTGGAGAGCAGAGAAGTAGTTTCTCCTTGAGCCGCCTGGGACCAGGGTGTGCAGCTCGATGTCAGCACCACATCTGGATCGCTCTCTGTCCAAAGCCGAGGTTTTTCTCTTCTCCAGGGACAGGGACAGTTCTTTGACCAGTTTCAGTTTTCCCCTCAACTCACCGCAGCTCCCCACAAAGGGGGTGACCTCCCCTCCCCCCGTGTCTCTGGGTCCTGGCCTGTTTTAATCTTCCACAGTTCACTGTAAGGGTTCCTATGGCTTCAGGCATTCGCTGTTTGAGAGATGGGGGCGAGTGAAACGTACAGAGCTCCCTACTTCTCCACCATCTTGCCTCTTCAATCTCCCTCTTTGTCTGTTTTTATAGTGTTTGTTTTATTTTTATTTTCTTTACAAATAGTGTATTGTGAAGTTAGTTTCCATATAACACCCAGTGCTCATCCCCACAAGTGCCCTCCTCCATGCCCATCACTCCCCCTCTCCCGACTCCCATCAGTCCTCAGTTTCTTCTCAGCATTCAAGAGTCTCTCATGGTCTGCCTCTCTCCCTCTCCCCTACTATTTCCCCCCTTCTCCTGCCCCATGGTCCTCCGTCGAGTTCCTCCTAATCCTCCTATACGTGCAAACATATGATATTTGTCCTTCTCTGCCTGACTTATTTCGCTCAGCATAACACCCTCAAGGTCCATCCATGTTGCTACACTTGGCCAGATTTCATTCTTTCTCATTTCCATGTAGTATTCCATGGTATAGATAAACCACATCTTCTTGATCCATTCGTCTGTTGATGGACACTTAGGCTCTTCCATGTTTTGGCTATTGTTGAGAGTGCTGCTCTGAACATTGGGGTCCATGTGTCCCTATGCATCAGCACTCCTATATCCCTTGGGTAAATTCCTAGCAGCGCTATTGCTGGGTCATAGGGGAGTTCTATTGTTCTGTCTTGGTGGTTGTGGGGTGAAGAGTGGTGGTGCTCTAGTCCCTTCTTGAACCAAGCACTGCAACTCACTTTTTTGAGTGTGTAAACTCACTGTGCCGGGGGCGCAGTCAAGGTGGGCTGTGCTCTATATCCCAGGCCAGGCCTTGTTTCCAGATCCTAGTCCACATGCCCACTGAAATTGCCGGAAACACAAACTCACAGGCCATCCCCTCAGGGCAGTCCCAAGCCTCTTGCCTTCCCCCTGGGGATTGAGCCAGAAGCTGCTGCTCCCATTTCTTCCAGGTCGGGTTGGTGAACGAGGAGCAGCTTCATCCGGGGGTCGCCTCGGATGAGTGTGTTCCACCTAGGGTCAGCTGGAGAGCAGGAAACAGTGTCCCTCTGTGTCCCGAGCAGAGGTTTTTCTGTTCCCCAGCGACAGGAAGTGTCTTGAGCAGGTTTGGCCACTCTCTTTCCCCTCTAAACTCCCCGCAGAGGGGAATCGCCCCTGTCCCTCTGTGTCTCTGGTCCCAGTCCGATTTTATCTTCCCCAGTTCACACTCATGCTAGAAGGATTTCTCAGCAGACTCTGTCTCCTTTTCCTCCCAAACTCCTGGATTCTGTAAGGGTTCCTATGGCTTCAGGCCTTCTCCGTGCGAGATATGGGAGCGAGTGCAATGTACAGAGTTCCCTACTTCTCTGCCGTCTTTCCCCCTCCCTATAGTGTTTGTTTTAAAGTCTCTGTTTTAATGACGATTCAAAGGGGCACATGTACCCCAATGTTTGTAGCAGTGCTATCAACAATAGTCAAAATATGGAAAGAACCCAAATGTCCATTGACAGATGAATGGGTAAAGAAGATGTGGTATATATATATATAATATATATATATTATATATGTATATAATGGAATTATTATATATATATAATGGAATATTACTTGGCAATTAAAAAGAATGAAATCTTGTCATTTGCAACAACATTGATGGAACTAGAGTGTACCATGCTAAGCAAAATGAGTTAGTCAGAGAAAGACAAATATATGATTTCACTCATATGTGGAATTTAAGAAACAAAACAGATGAGCATAGGAGAAGGGAAGGAAAAATAAGAGAAACAGAGAGGGAGGAAACCAGAACATTCTCTTTAATACAGAGAATATTTAGGGCATGACCTAAATGGATGACGGGCATTAAGGAGGGCACTTGTTGCGATGAGCACTGAGTGTTATATGTAAATGATAAATCTCTGGGTTCTACTAGGACAGGAGGTAAGACATGTGATTGGGTTCTACTCTTGAAACCAATACTACACTGTATGTTAACTAACTTGAATTTAAATAAATAAATTTTTTAAAAAAGAGTAATTCCTGACACAGAGTAAATACTAAAAAATAGTTGTTTTAAATATGTTTATTGGCTGTTTGGGTATGCTCCTCCATAAAATGATTATATTCTTTACTCTCATTTTTATTGGGTGGTTTTGATTTTTTTCTATCAAATATTTTAGCATATTTTTAATTTTTTTAAATGTTTCTTATTTATTTCTGAGAGAGAGAGAGAGAAGTAGAGAGAGAGAGAGAGAGAGACAGCGTGAGCAGGGGAGGATCAGAGAGAAAGGGAGATACAGAATCTGAACCACGCTCCAGGCTCTGAGCTAGCTGTCAGCACAGAGCCCAATGCGCGGCTCGAACCTCTGAACCATGAGATCATGACCTGAGCCAAAGTCAGGCCCTTAACTGACTGAGCCACTCAGGCACCCCTAGCAGATTATGTTTTACCTGCTTCAATAAGGATTTTAAAGTTAAAACCATGAAGTCTCTTTTGTGCAAAGTAAGTATTGCTATTCTGGCTTTCTTTTACCATCTATTTGCATAATAGATGTCTCTCTATCCCCTCACTTTCAATCTGCAGGTGTCTTTGGATCTAAAGTGAACCTCTTGTAGGCAGCATAAGTATAGATGAGTCTTGTTTTTTAATCCAGTCTGTCACCCTATGTCTTTTGATTGGAGCATTTAGATCATTTACATTCAAAGTAATTATTGATAAATATGTATTTATTGCCATTTTATTATTTGTTTTGTGGTTGTTTCTGAAGATTTTCTCTGGTCCTTTCTTGTCTTTCTCTCATGGTTTGCTGATTTTCTTTACTGATTTATTTGGATTTGTTTCTCTTTATTCTTTGCATACTTATTGATGGCTTTTGATATATGGTTACCATTAGGTTTGTCTATTCCAAGTGAAGAGACAATCACATGTCTTACCTCCTGTCCTAGTCCCAGAGCCTGTAAAGGTGAACCACTGGGTTTGTCTATAACCTTTTCTGCATATAGCAGTCTATATCAAGTTGATGGTAGTTTAAGTTTGAACCCATTCCTTTCTCTTCTTCTCTCCACATCTTAGACATATGCTATTATGTTTTATCTTTTCTTTATATCCGTTCTTTGGTGAGCTCCTTGAATCACTTGCTACAGATATATTCATTTTTATTGCTTTTGTGTTCTCTGTATTTATACTACACTTTTGGTCTCTCCTTTCCACTTAAAGAATCCCCTTTAATATTTCATGCAGGGATGATTTAGTGGTCATGAACTCCTTTAGTTTTTGTTTATCTGGAAAACTCTTTACTTCTTTTATTCTTAATGATAGCCTTGCTAGATAGAGTATTCTTGGCTGTAGATTTTTCCTGTTCAGCACTTTGAATATATCATGCCACTCCCTTCTGGCCTGGAAAGTTTCTGTTGAAAAATCTCCTGGTAGCCTTATGGATTTCCCCCTTGTAAGTTGCTGACTTCTTTTGTCTTACTGCTTTAAAATTTTTTGCTTTATCATTATTTTTTCAATTTAATTACAATATGTCTTGGTGTTGGTCTGCTTTTGTTGATTTTTATGGGAGTTCTCTGTGCCTCCTGGATCTGAATATCTGTTTCCTTCCTCAAATTAAAGATGTTTTCAGCTATTAATAACTTCTTCAAATAAATTTTCTTCCCCCTTTTCTCTCTGTTCTTATGAGACTCTTATAATATGAATGTTAGGTTATGTTATTAGGTTTGGTGGAGTCACTGAGTTCCCTAAGTCTATTCCTTTTGCTTAATTCTTCTTTCCCTCTTTTGTTCAGCTTGAGTACTTTCCACTATTTTGTCTTCTAGGTTACTAATTAATTCCTTTGCTTCTTCCATCCTGCTGTTCATTCCACCAAGTGCTTTTGTCATTTTTTCTATTGAACCTCTGATCTCTGCTATGTTCTCCTTATCTCTGCATTAAGGGTCTTACTCATGTCTTCTACTCTTTTGTTAAGTCTAGTGAGTATCCTTACGATCATTGCTTTCAATTCTCTATCAGGCTTGTTACTTATATCTGTTTTGCTTAGGTCTTTAGCTGTGGCCTTGTCCTTTTATTTCATTTAGGATACATTTCTCTGTTTCCTTATTTTATCTGTGTCTTTATGTCTGTTTCTGTGTGTTAAGAAAGTCAGATATGTCTCTTGCTTTTGAAAGTAGTGGCTTTATTAAAAGAAGAGGTCCTGGAATGCCCTGCAGTGCAGTGTCTCCTGTTCACCAGAACCTGGCATTTCATGAGAGTATCCTATGTGTGTTGCTTATGCTTTGCTGTTATGTCTGAGTCACTTTCCTTTTCAGTTCATTGATCTGCACTTTCTCTGCCTGTTGCGGTCTATGATTCCTCTCTGTGGTGTTAAAGGGACCCAGGCAGGCCAGCTCTGAGGGGGAACTTGGGAGTTAGTCACGAGTGTTAGCAAAATTTCCTCTGGGCCACCAGTCCTATACTGGATCCCCTGGAGCACTGCAGTGACTGGGGAATATGTGCCAGGATGGCCGGAAGTGCAAGACTGGGTACAGCACGGGGTGATGGCTGGGCACGGAAGCAATTGTGCACCTGGCAGCTGGTTAAGGCATGTGCATGGCTTTGACAAAATTTGTCCTGAGCCCAGGACCAAGGCTAGCAGACTTGGAGTGGATCGGTCTTCAGGAGAACTTATTGGTATGGCACATTGCTAGCAGTTTAGGTAGCAAGTGTTTGTGCAGTTCCACCTCTCACAGATGGCTCTGTGTTTATGCTGGATGGTGGGGGAGGAAAATATCACCTGTCAGTTCCCTCATTTACAGAAAAGTCAACAAAGATGTCCTGAAATCAGTATGAACAGATCTATCCCCAGTTTGTTCCCAGTGTTGTATAAACTGTCATTTTTATGTTGTCTCTCTGCACAAGCTGTGTCTCTTTAAGGGTAGTGGTCCAGCTTTCCTTCACCCCCCTGGCTCACCCAATGTCACGAAATTTAGAATTATATAGGCCCATTTTCCAGTTCTATTTTTGCCACTTCCTATTTGGGAAGAGCTAAAAAGACTATGACTTCACTTCTCTGAGCCTCAGTTTCTCCAACTACAAAGTGAGGAATGTACCCCACAAGGTTGTCTGTAAGAAGTAAACAAAATGTCAACACCCATGGTCGAGGTGATTGCAATGACTTCCTAACAAGTATCCTTGTTATTCTTGCTCCCTACTGTTCATTATCCACACAGTAACAAGAAAGTCAAAATTTACCTTTATTGAATTATAATTTGCATACAATAAATAGTTCAGTTCAATAGTACAATTTGAAGGCATGACTGGGTAAATTTTGAGAGACATATGCACCCATGAAACCACCACCACAATCAAGATACAAAACATCTTCATCATCCTCAAAAGATTCCTCATGTCCTTTATTGGTCCATCCATCACTTCACCCCAAGCCCTACAATAAGTGTGATTTTTTTAAAAACATGTAACTTGCATCATGCTACTTCCCTATTTCATGCCCCACAATAGCTTCATATCCTACAGGAAATTAAATCTAAATTCCTTACCATGCCCTTTCAAGACCGCTTATCTTATGGTTTTTGCTATCTTTTCTATTCCCCTATCACTTACTATTTTCCAGCCACACTGATCTCCTCTGTGTTCATGGAAACTGTCAAGCCCGTTCTCATTGGTAAGCCTTTGCTATTGTTTCTTGTATTTGACATCCTCTTCCCCCAATTATAATTATCTCACTGGCTTGTTATCTTTCAGATTTCAGCTTAAATGTCACTCCTTCAGAGAAATCTCCCATGACCATCTATGAAAAATGGACTCCTCTAATTACTTTCTTTCTCAATACTTTATTTCTTTGACAGCACTCATTTATTGCTTACATTGTGCTTGTCTCATTCAGTTGACTGTAGCCTCCATAATACAGAAATCATAAATCTTCTGCTCCCCATTGTATCTGCAGTGCCTAGGACATATTAGGCACTCAACAAATATTTGTTTAATGATTTAATGATGCATTAACATGCCTAGAACTGTGCCTGGCACATAACATGTATGCAGCAAATAGTTGTTTTCTCTGCCATCCCGTCTCATCTTCCCCAATGTGATAAAGGTCATCTATTTAAAACTCAAAGCTAACATCATATTCAGTTGTGAAAAAACTGAAAGTTTTACCCCTAAGATCAGAAACATCACTAAAGTCCCTGCTTTCACCAGTTATATTCAAAGTAGTATTAAAAATTGTAGCAGAGCAATGAGACACGAAAAAATAAATTTAAAAATCTTATTTTCCCATAAAAACTTGAAAAATATTTGTAAAATTATCTTTGTTTGCAGATGACATAATCTTTTATGTAGAAAGCCCCCAAAACCCCCCAAACGCCAGACACACACACACACACACACACACACACAAACTGCTTTTAGGGCTGATAAATGAATTAAGCAAAGTTGTGGGATACAAAATCAACAAAGAAAAGGAAGTTGCATTTTATATACTATCAATAATCCAAAAAAGAAATTAAGAAACAATTTCATTTATAATAGCATTAAAAATAATAAAATACTTGGGGATAAATTTAACTAAAGAGACAAAAGACTTATACATTGAAAACTACAAAACACTGTTGAAACGAATTAAAGAAGATGCAAACAAATGGAAAGATATCCTGTGTTGATGGATTGGAAGACTTAAAATTGTTACAACAGTATCCAAAATGATCTGCACATTCGGTAAAATCCCTATCAAACCTCAACAGAGATTTTGCAAAAATAGAACACATCCTAAAATGTATATGAAATTTCAAGGAACCCTCAATTACCAAAACATTCTTGAAAAAGAAGAAAAACTTATCATAAAGCTACAGTAATCAAAATAGTGTGGTACTGGCCTAAGGACAGATATATGGACAAATGGGATAGAATAGAAAGCCCAGAAAAAACCCTTGCATATATGGTAAACATTTCATTTTTGATTTAAGTAGCAAGACCATTCAATGGAGAAAAGATTGTCATTTCAACAAATGATATTAAAAAATGTAGGTATCCAGAGGCAAAGGAATAAAATTGGACCTTTACCTTATGCCATATACCAAAATTAACTCAAAATGAATAACAGACCTAAATGTGAGTCTTAAAACTATAAAATTCTTAGAAGAAGACATGGGTAAAATATTTATGATGTTGGATTTGGTACTGGTTTCTTAGATATGACACTAAAAGCACAGGCAACAAAAGAAAATATAAGTAAATCAGACTTTATCAAATTAAAAAATTTTGTGCATCAAAGGACACTATCAACAGAGTGAAAAGACAACACACAGAATGAGAGAAAATATTTACAAATCATATATCTGATAAGGGATTAGTATCCGCAATATATAAAGAATTTCTAAAAATCAACAACAAAAGAAACTAACAACTCAGTTTGAAAATGGGCAAAGGACTTGAGTAGACATGCTTCAAAGAATATATACAATTCTTTGACAAGCATATGAAAAGACATTCCACTTCACTAATCATTAGAAAAATACAAATCAAAACCACAATGAAATACCATTTCATACCCATTAGGATGACTATTATAAAAATATGATATGAGAAATAATGAAATCTGGCCATTTGTAGCAACATGGATGGAACTAGAGGGTGTTATGCTGAGTGAAGTAAGTCAGGCAGAGAAGGACAGATACCATATGTTTGCACGTATAGGTGAATTAAGAGGAAGTTAATGGAGGACCATGAGGGATAAGAAGAGAAAAAAATAGTTGGGGAGAGGGAGGTAGGCAAACCATGAGAGACTCTTGAATGCTGAGAACAAACTGAGGGCTGATGCGGATGGGGGAGAGGGGAAGGTGGGTGATGGGCATGGAGGAGGGCACTTGTTGGGATGAGCACTGGGTGCTATATGTAAACCAACTTCACAATAAACTACTTAAAAAATATGGTATAACAAGGTTTGGCAAGCACATGGAGAAATTGGAAGTCTTGTGTGTCACTGATGGGAAAGCAAAATGGTGA